GGCCAGGACACCAGAAGCCCTTCCACTGTTGACCCCCCCCCAAGCACCAAGAAGACAGAGCATCACTTGCCCCAGAGCCCCTATCTATACCTTGTGGCTAATAGCCACTGATGGACCTCTGTGTCCCACAGTGGGGTAATCAGGACCCCATGGTTGTTTCAGCTCAGGAAAACAGTGTGAGAGGGAAGGCCGAAGCCCCTTCCTCTCCTTGAACCAAGCGCCTGAGCCAACTTACGCCCTGGAATGCTTGGGAACATTAGTTTCATGACGTCATGTGAGGCTGTATTTTAACAATTAAGTTTCACAAAGAAACGGATTAATAAAGAAGCCAATTGATGGGTGTTTGGTCGAATAGATCCTCGCCAAATCTGGCAAACCAATACTTGTTGTTCTTGTTTGAGAAACTTACTTCCTGGCTTTTGGCGTGAAGTCAACAAGGCAAGAAAAACAACAAAAGAAAAAGAGGAAGTCCAGTTGGGGGAACAGTTTCACGTGGCCCCTCAAAGCTCAATTATAGCCCCTCCAAAACCTCAGTCAAATTATTCAGATCTTCTTGCCGCGATAAGGGTGTCATGGTAATTTTATTTTTCAATGCCATTTTTGAAAATGTAATGAGGGGAAAACTCTGAAGGCCCAATTAGAATAGTGAACTGACTCCAAGTCGGCAGCAGGGGCCTGGTTTCCTCAGTCAGCGGCCGGCAGCCTTTGGCTTGGTGAGTGAAACGGGGTTTTGTTCTATATTGCTTGTAACCTTGGAAAGAAACAAAGAGAAGGTGGGAGAGGAAAGGGCTCCTGGGATGAGTCCCTTCTCCAGAAAGGGCAGGGATGGTAACAGACTAGGGCCAGTTTCTCATCCTGAAGCTCAGTACTCTGGAAGTAACACCACACAGTCAAGCTGAGTTTCAAGGAAGCGAAGAACTTCCCTGTAGCTTCTTTGGCTTCGCCCTAAATTTGCAGCTCAACAGAAAGAGGTCCTGTGCTTGGCCGCTGCAAGCACTGCACCGACTGGGGAAAGCAGCCCCAGCCGATCAGAAATCAGCTAGGAGAGCTGCATCTCCCAAGCTTAACTTGAGGACAGCCCAAGACCTAAGCATCAGGGCAGCGAGCCTCACCAAAGTTGCTCTCAGAGAGAACTTCACAGTAGCCTGGAAAAACTGGAGGGGGGGAGACACATAGGTTCTTGTTCACACCCGCACACCACCAGCTGGTGAAGTCCAGCTGAGGGACTGCTAGTTGGGGCAAACCCAGCGATGTGTCTGCAGGGTCTATGACACCGATCGCTCACCTGGGAGGCATGGGACTTTTCAAATCAACAACCGCTTCAGATGAGCTCCAGCTGAAGTAGAATCCCCTTGAAGACCATTGCTTTGATGGGGGAAACCAGGGCGGCTCCCTGTTCTGCTACACCTTTGGGGAAATCTGGCCACCTGCTGTGAACACAAATGTTCAGTGGAGAAGGAAGCAAGTGACCAAATCTATCATCGGTCTCAGCGTCTGGGCAGCCCACTGCTCAGCTGAGTGGGGTGTCGTTTCTCCAGATCTTTATAGCTACAGCCAGGGATGGTTCCAGGTTTCGGTGGGCCCTGGGCAGAGAGTGCCCCTCTCCTCTGCTTGCCACTGTGCCCAACCACCTGCCCACCCTGCTCACACCTCCCTGCACTCTCTTTCCCCGCTGCCCTAGCAGTGTTCCCTCTAAGCTGAGTGAGTGTGAGCTAGCTCACAGTTTTTAGCCTCCAGCCCACACATAAATGGGTTGATCCAGAGCAAACTGATTTATGCAGCAGCCAAATCGCTCGCTCACAACTTTCACGCTAGTAGCTCACAAAGTAGGGTTTTTGCTCACAAGACTCCACAGCTTAGAGGGAGCATTGCTGCCTAGCTATCCCTCCTTTCCCCATCCACTTGCTTATTTTCCAGTCCTCCCATTGCTCAACCACTCTTCCCAACTGTGCAGTTCCCGTATGTACAGCTGGAAATGTGGGCAGTGGCAGGGATCACAACAAGCTGATGGGTTGCAGGGGAGCTGAACGGATAGGGGGTGGTACCAGTGGGCCCCACCAGAATACCTGGGCCTTGGCAGCTGACCCACCTTAGGATGTGCTGATGCTTGTCCTGACCACAGCAGCAGGGATGTGCAGCTCTTACCTGAGAAAGATACAAGCACCAAATCTGTAGGAGGTTTGGGAGCAGGGAGAGGAGTCACGATCCCTCTGAAAGTGAAACTTAGCTTCAGAATAATTGTTTGACTCTAAGTTGAACTAGGACTTAGAAAACATGGGCAAGCATTCAGCTTCTGAGAAGCATGGTGTGATCAGGTGGGAGTTCTGGAAGCCTTTCATTTCATTAGTAATTTTAGATGTACAGTAGTTATACCTGGGCTACAAGGGAGCAAACCAAGGCTCTGAAAAGCCTGGTGTTCAATTGTGAAAGTGGTGGGGTGGCTACCTGTATAGCTGCACATTTTGGGAATGATAAGGGAGTACCCTGGCCAATAGCCACAGTGGGGCATTTAGGGGCAGTGCCCCCTCACTCATGGTCCATGACCCACAGCTTCTGCTGTGCCGGCAGGTAAGGAAAGCGCTCTCTCTCTCTCTCTCTCTCTCTCTCTCTCTCTCTCTCTCTCTCTCTCTCTCTCTCTCTCTCCCTCTCTCCCTCTCTCCCCTGCTTCCTCATATTTCCCAATACCCCACCACCCAAAATTTTCCGGCTATGCCCCTGGAAGCACCTGGCCAATCCTTTCAGTCCTCTGAAGCCAACTGTTCAGCTGGGGAACACTTGGATGGATCCCTGTTCAGCTGTGGGTTTGAGATTTATGGGGAGAGCTTTTGGCAGCCTCTTAGCTTGTGCAAGCTGAGTGCTAGAAAAGCGAGTTACACCCCCTGCTTTCCCAGGTCACAGATCAGTAGGGGACGGCGCAAGGGTCTCCCAGGAAAACAATAGCCATCAAAAGAACTAAGAGGATCCTGGTTGCTTCCCAATAGCATGGATTCCCAAAGCTGGAGTCTCAGAGCTGTGTATACATCCCAGCTGAAGACTAGCTTTCAGACAGAGTTTATGTGGTCACCTCCAGCATTTCCAAATACAGCACAAGCCCCAGTCAAGAACCATGCTAGAGAGTCCAGTGCATTCCCTGACCTTAACATGGAGAACTGCACCCACTGCTGCTGAGCGCTGGGGTCCCACAAATATGAGAGGAGGGCTTGATCCTTCTCTCACACCTACTGTTTACCTGGGAGCCTTAGATGTCTCCCAGCTAAGTAGCAAATGGGGTGGGGGTGGCTTTCCTGAAGCATGTGTTTAGTTGGGCCCACAAAGCTCTTCTAGCAAAACACCTGATTTCAAGAAGGCTGCAGACTCTGCGGTCCCGACACCCTAGCTACAGTACCTTCCAAGATCTAAGACCCTTCTTCACTAGGCAAGTGTTTACACATTTGAGGCTTCAAATATGCATAATAAAACACTGTTTTCAATTGTCACCTATACCCACTGATTACTGATAATCCTGTTCCACGTGAAAAAAGAACGTCAGAAGCAGTCAAGGTGAATATGCATTGGGGTGGAGGTCTTTTGTTTATTCAAAATCGAAAATGTCATGCTCAAGAATAGAGTTGAAAACTCCTTCCTCCGTTAGGGAGAACTTTAGGTGGACAGAAATGGGCAGATCAGGTGGGTAGAATCTGAAGCAAGAACACTTCAGGGAGGAGGCTACAAGCATGGATGGCTTCAAGAGGGAATTGGGTAAACATATGGAGCAGAGGTCCATCAGTGGCTATTAGCCACAAACTCTAGATAGGAACTCTCAGGCTGGGGCAAGTGATGTTCTGTATTCTTGGTGCTTGGGGGGGCATCAGTGGGAGGGCTTCTAGTGTCCTGGCCCCACTGCTGGACCTCCTGATGGCACCTGGTATTTTTGGCCACTGTGTGACACAGTGTTGGACTGGATGGGCCATTGGCCTGATCCAACATTGGCTTCTCTTATGTTCTTATGCTCTTGTGAGGGTATTACCTGCCAACAGTTCTTTTATAACCAGAAATGCTCCTATACTTAAAAACAAAATGGACAATAAAAAAAATGCTGGGGGGGCGAAGGTGAGTTAAATGCGAACTCCAAGTTTGGCACTGCACCCACTGGCTCCATCCTGATCATACACGCCTCTCAATTCTTTGCAGATTTGGGAAGGCTCGGGGAGCAATTTAGGTCTCCTCCTCTAAAAGGCAATATTCTGATGGCTAAACAACAACCGCAGCGCCCGTCGGGAATGCTGGTGAGCTCCATTAATTTATGAGTCGCTTCAGGAAGGGTTTAGAGGGTTTATCTGCCTTCTCTGAACCTTGTAGAAGTCCAGTATTCAGCCAAGAGCGTCAGAATGGGATGAAACACCCTGAGTTCAGCACAGTATTCAGAAAAGCTCAGTGGAAAGCAACTCAACTCCCCTAAGCATTTCTGAAGCTTGGTGTTCATATGAGAGCTATGAAAACCTGGGGAGGTATATATGGTTCGCTCCAGCCTCCCACAGCTCCACATAGGGGCAAACAAATCCCCACCGCTGCTCTCTGCAAGCGTCTCTACGGCCAGCTTCCTCCAGGCTACAAACTTCTCTTCAACCCAGCTAAGCATGGGTTCCCAAAGCCTCATAGGAAGGTCTCCTATTTGAAACACTTTCACTATGATACAGGGCCATATTAGGGCATGACCCCAATGGCTCCCAATGCCAACGTGCCTTTCAGCCTAATGTGACACGAATCAGCACCAAGAACCAAAATATCAGGCAGTCTCATTTGATCAGGCAACAGTAGCCTAATCCATCTCAGGGGGGAAAAACAGATGGGAATGATGGATAATTATGTCTTCCTTTTGCAACAAAGCAACGGGTCACCTTCTTTTGGCTAACCAATCACATCTGAACGGTTAATATTCTCCACCCTTCTGTTTCCTTTTTCCTTCTCCCACAGCTTCTTCAAGAGCCCCTTCTCTTTTCCCCCTCATTGTACCCTCTGAGAGCATCCCAAGCAATGGACTCGTCACCATCGGGTGCTTGGCCAAGGATGTCATGCCTTCTGTGGTCAGTTTCACCTGGAATGATCAGAACAACGTCAGCATCGATGCACATTATGTCAAGCAGTTCCCTTCCATTTTCTACCCATCTGGAACTTTCACCTCCAGCTCCCAGGTGGCCATCTCTGCCAACGACTGGCGGAATTTTCAGCATTTCTATTGCAAAGCTACCAACAACGCTGGGACTGGAGTAGTTCAAGTCGCTCGTCAAAGTAAGTGGATGTATTTTGTTTCTCTGTTCAACCGGCAACACCCCCCCCCCATGAACTTCAAACACCATGAAACAATTTCGGAAAATAGTTTCTAAGGCTGCCACAACAACACATCCTGATTCACTGATTTATTATTTCTACTATTATATTAAATATATCCCATCACAACACCAAAAGAAAGATTCGGTGCTGTCTTGGCTAGTTGCCATGAATACTACACACTCTAAGCTAAAAAACACCGTCTCAGAATCAAGGTAAACAATGGAGCCAAAGGTTGGATAGCCAGGGATGTCAATTCAAGGTTGCAGGTTTCAAGGACAAGGAGCGGCTGCTATACACACAGAAGCAGGTCTGAGTATGCAGAGTTGCTGCAGCGCTAGACAAGGTGCAAGGAGTGCTTTTGAACAGGCCCTCCCTTCCCTGGGAGTTGAGTCTGCCAAGGCTTACAGCTCCTCCCGTTGCCTTTGCAGGAGCTGCAGTCTGGCGGTCCTTCTTCGCTCCTGCATAGTCAGCCTCTGGCATGCCCTATGTCTGGGGCACTCAGGAGAACTAAGCGGGGAGTCTGGCCTCGGGGCCTCTGCAACTGGGGGTGCTGGGCCAGGCTCAGGATTGGTCTCTCCTTCTGGCTGCACCTCCTGTGCAGCTGCTGGGGACTTTTCCTCCTCGGGTACTGTTGAGGGTTCTTCTTCTGGGCTGACTCCAGAGGAGGCTGGGTTGCTTCCTGCCTCTTCCTTATCTGAGGAGTAGTCAGCCTCAGCAGAGCCAGTACCCACGACAGATTCCTGTTAATCTTTCTCCAGAACAGGTAAGGCAAAAAAGCCTTCAAAAAGAAAATCTAATGAGTTTGATAGGAAGACATTCTTGGATATCTGTAAATCCCTCCACATAAATATACTTTCACTTGTGACAGATCCACCTGTAATTAATTCTCCCTTCTTTTTGCTATTTCCCTTCCTCCTAAGCTTCCTGTCTGAAGCCTGAGATGATTATCCGTGCGCCACGCCTAGAAGATTTTGAGAATTCTGACCCAAATGCCACCATTGTCTGCATGGCTGTTAATTTGCACACTGCCAGAGCCACAGTCCAGTGGCTGAAGGATGGTCGTACACTCGACTCTGGCTTCGCCAACACTGGACCAGTCGCAGTGGGTCCTAGTGGTTACAGCATCATCAGTGAGCTCACAGTCGATAAGAGAGACTGGACCTCTGACAAGACATTCTCCTGTGAAGTGCACAATGAGAACTTCACCAGCATCAGGAATATCAGCAAGTCCCTTGTCTGTGATGCTGGTAAGTTGAAATGTTCCAGTCTACCCAATTACATCCAGACTCCAGAGTCTCTACCAAATCAGTTGAAAACATGTCCTCAGGGTGAAGTATTCAAATGTTTACCCCCTTGATATTTGAGAGATAGTCTTTTTCAAATATAATATGTTATGCTTTCATTTGAAATAGCTTTGCAAAGGTGCTAAGCCACTGTAGGAACACAACAAAAGATCTGGGGAAGGTGAAATCTCACCACAAATTGAAAGCTCATTTAATCTAGGGCTTGGTCTCCTAGCAAATGCTGCTGCTACCTAGCGGAAGTTCTGCTAGGGATTACCAGTTTTCCTCTATTCCATGTCTTTGTTGGTTTGTGAGTTTGCTGTGTCTGTGTTCCAGTTCTCCTGGTTTCCAGTTTCACGGGGAGAAGTTCTCAACTAAACTCTAGAAGTGGAACACATGCAGCTTGCTAGAGTTCTCAATACCTTCAAGTTCTTCATGCCCACCCAACAACCCCCAAGTACAAATGTACATATACGCACTGCAAAATACACTACAAGACAGGAATACTGCTGTGATGGTATTATGATTACAAACCAATTGTATTTGAAGAAGCGAAGAAGAGATTGGATTTATACCCCGCCTTTCACTACCCAAAGGAGTCTCAGAGCAGCTTACAAACTCCTTTCCCTTCCCCTCCCCACAACCAACACCCAGTGAGGTAGGTGGGGCTGAGAGAGCTCTGACAGAAACTGCTCTTTTTTAAGAACAGCTGTGCCAGAACTATGGCTTGTCCAAGGTCATCCAGCAGGTGCAAGTGGAGGAGTGGGGAATCAAACCTGGCTCTCCCAGATTAGAGTCCACGTACTTAACCACTACACCTAACTGGGAGTATTGATTAATGGTGGGTATTGATTAATGGGGGTAATGGATTGTTTAGTGTAGTGGGGGGAAACAAGAAGAAACTGGAAGCGAGCAAACTTGGCATGCACAGTACAAACTATTTAGTTAAAAAAAATAAAAAATTAAAAGATGATGCATGATGGATCCATTGCCCTTCAGAAACAAGACAATGATAGATGCTTTCCATTTCAGAAGCTAGGTCACTGGGGATGCCAAAGCCCAAGAAGAATTTTTGAACTATACCTAGCCTTAGCAGATATACCTCTGGACAATGCATGGATACTACCAAAATGTAGTACAGTTGGTTAGACTGCTGAACTACAATCCCCGCTCTGCCATAGAAACCTGCTAGATAACCTTGGGCCAGTAACACTCTCGGCCTAATCTACCTCACAAGGTTCTAATAAGAATAAAATGGAGAAGGAGATAATGTTGTGAGCTACTTTGGGTCCCCATTGCAAAGGAAAAATGGGGTATGAATGAAGTACATTACATAAGAAACTCTATGTATGCCATCTTGAGGTCCATAGATGAAAAATGTTATACAAAATAATCATTTCCTCTGAAAGCACACACCGTGAAAGGTCCTTATAGATCTGCTGCTGAATGACCAAGTGACCTCATTCTTCCTGCTATATCGAGACCATTTTGAGGCAGCCTTACATTGAAAATGATATCCATTAGCATATTCCAGTATGCTTCATAAGAACATAAGAGAAGCCAATGTTGGATCAGGCCAATGGCCCATCCAGTCCAACACTCTGTGTCACACAGTGGCCAAAAATACAAGTGTAAAGTGGCAGAAGACACCAACGTAGAGACCTTGCTATAGGTTCATATTTTTATTTAATATATGCACACAAAAACACATGCTGAGTTAAAACAGAGATGTACCAGAAAACATACTGAAAAGACTACTCTGATCCAACATCAGGCCAATGAAGCATGTAGATTACTTGAAGCAGATGCAAGATATGAAGCACGGACAAGGTGTGATGAACCTAGGAGAGCCATGTTCTGATTTATTGAGAAACTGAATGTTCTTCCCTCTTGGTTGCTTCTCAGGTTCTTGTGGTGAAGTGCAAGTCCACGTGGAGGCCATCCCACCATCCTTTACTGATATTTACCTGAACAAATCAGCCAAGCTGACCTGCAGAATCTCCAACATGCCCTATGATCAGGAACTTAAAGAATTGAGTGTCACCTGGACACGGGAACGTGACGACACACAGCTGGAAACCATAATTGGACAGATTACGGCACAAGAAGACAATGCATTGGCATTTGTAGACGCAACAGCAACTGTGTGCCCAGAAGAATGGGACAGTGGGGACACCTTTAAGTGCAAAGTTACTATTCCCTCCCTTCTTCCCACAGCTGAAACAAGAACCCTGAGGAAGCTTAAAGGTAGGTACTTCTTTGACATCACTAAAAAAAAAAACCAATCAACCCCCACAGGGTATTAGCTTCATCAGGCCTCTGGCAGACTCGGGAGTTGGCGGAATGTTACCAAAATGCCCAGTGAATAATCATTCCTTTACCTTCCTTTAAAACATTTCTAAACTCAAAACGCTTTCAAGGCAGCTCGCAACAACTTCAGATAGTGAGAAGTGAAATAATATATACAACATCATACAAACTTAAAAAAAAAAATCAAACTAAGTACCAGTAGTTAAGAAAGTAGTCATCAAGAAGAAGAGGAGGAGGAGGAGGAGGAGGAGGAGATTGGATTTATACCCCACCCTTCACTACCCAAAGGAGTCTCAGAGTGGCTTACAAACTCCTTTCCCTTCCCCTCCCCACACCCTGTGAGGTAGGTGGGGCTGAGAGAGCTCTGACAGAAACTGCTCTTTCTCAAGGACAGCTGTGCCAGAACAAGAGAATCATTTACACTCCACACCTAAAAGAAAATAAACTCCTTTGAGCTTCACTGAGGAGAAAATTAGAGACCTCCAGGGTCATCTAGTCCAACCCCCTGCACAATGCAGGAAATTCACAAATACCTCCCCACACACACACTGACCCAGAAGGTGACAAAAAAAACCCATCCAGAATATCCAGCCAAACTGGCCAAGAGAAAAATAGCAGGGAGCTCTTCCTCTTGGCCACAGGAGATAAGATTCATAATAATGGGTTTAAATTACAGGCGAAAGGATACCGGCTGGATACTGGGGGGAGGGGATTTACAATAAGAGCAGTTCAACTAGATTCAGATGCCTGGGAATATGGTAAGCTCCCCCTCACTGGCATTCTTCAAGCAGTGGCTGGACCAACACTTGTCAGGGATGCTTTAGGCTGACCCTGCGTTGAGGGGGTTCTCATAGCCTAGCACTCTCCAGACGAGTCAGAATGGTTGTAAAATGCCCACTGAATCATTATCAATCTCCTTTATTGTAAAACTACATTGAAATTCTAATTTAACCCATTAACCCTTTCTTCTTTTCACCATCCAGACAGCCCTTACCATGCTCCCGCTGTCTATGTCCTCCCCCCACCCTCAGAACCCAGGCAGTCCTTACCACGCTCCTGCTGTCTATGTCCTACCACCACCACCAGAACAACTGGCTTTGCAGGAAACGGCCACCCTCACTTGCCTGATGACAGGTTTCTACCCCAATGACTTCTTTGTGAAATGGCTCCGGAATGATGAGCCCATAGGACCTTCAGAGTACTTCATCAGCAAGCCCATACAGGAATCCAAGACCCCCGAGCGGTACTTCACCTATAGCACGTTGAATGTCAAAGAGCAGGACTGGAGTTATGGCGCCATTTACACTTGCGTGGTGGGACACGAGGCACTTCCCTTTCAAACAACTCAGAAGACCATAGACAAGAAGACGGGTAAACCCACCCATGTCAACGTCTCCCTAGTGTTGTCTGAAACTACAAACACTTGCTACTAATCATTGCTGTCCCCCTATTTCCACCAGCATCTTTCTCTTGTTGTGTCTCTTCTTGTTTCTTTATTGGCTCTTTAATGGAATGGAGGAGTAATGTTGGGTATCTAAAACAGAGGTCTTAAATGTCCCCTATTTGAGGTAGAATGACAATTTGCAATAAACTGTTTTTTCAAACCAAAGGAAGACTATCTAGCCTGCTGTGAGGTTTAATGTCATCTTTCAGCTGCAGAAGTATGCACTGAGGTACCCAACTCCACTGGAATTCAAAGGAAAATAGTGCGCATTTGCAAAACTTGCTGACAACAAATTCTTAACTATTCCTGGACGGCGCCCGCTCATGTCCCCTTGCGGAAAAGGGGTTTTTTCCCCCCACGTCTCCGTGGATGCGCACACGCACCCAACGGAGCATGCGCATTCGTAGTGTACACGAAAAAAGAAAACCAGTTCGCCGCGCCGCGCGCTTCTTCATTGCGCGCAGGCGTGTGTTGTGATCGGCACCTCTCCCTTGCCATGGAACCTCCACAGTACCTCCACAGAACCTCCACAGTAGGTCTGATCGCTTTACTGCATGTTAGTTTGCCCCGGGGCAAACAGCCACACTTCTCCTCTGCAGTTTCCTGCCCGTGTGACAGGGGCCCTGGATTCTCAAAGGATGCTAAAAGCATTCTCTTTTTTTCTGTTTCTGGTTAAGGCATGCAAACACCACACTCTCAAACAGTGGTTCCTGAAATGGCCTATACATTCCCATCCAAAAATACTCTTTGTTTAAATAGGATTAAAAACATGTCAACACTGAAAATTCTGTAAAGAATCCCTAATAACAACATTAACAGGTGGCAAAAACGTGGCTCAATAAATAAGTGAATCGGGGCCCCCTGGGGAAGGACTGTGGCTCAGCGGCAGAGCATCTGCTTGGCATGAAGAAGGTCCTGGGTTCAATCCCTTGCATTTGCAGCTAAAAGCATACAGTGATAGATGATGTGAAAGACCTCCACTTGAGACCCTGGAAAGCCATTGGCTTAGGCAAGACTGACCTTGATGGACCAAGGCTCTGGTTCCATATAAGCAGGCTCGTAGCTACAGTGGGGCATTTCAAGCCCCCCCCCCAACTTCCATCCAGCCCCCAGACCCCCGGCTCTCTGGGCTGACCAGAGGACTCCTGACTCTCTGGGCCACCTGGAGGACTCCCCACCACTGCCCCTTTCCCAAGCATGACTTGCCTCCCCACTTAGGCAGGCAGAGTACATTTTTTATTTTGTGACATCAGTGCCCCCTGACTTATTTAAAGGCCCCCTGAATTACAAAATCCTGACTACGGGTCTGTGTATAAGGCAGTTTTGTGTGTCCATCTGTGGTAAAAGCAACTCTGATGGATCTTGGCTTAATTTCATATAAAGACCCCAAAACTTTATAGGGTATTAGACAAACCCTTAGTGGTCAATCCAGCTTTTGCTAACAAGAACCTGATAGGTAACTGATTAAGACAAAAGCTTGTGTCGAGGGCTGACTTTCAATAGACCGCAGCGAGGGAGCTGCTCTGCTACGCACGAAACCCCGACCCAGAATCAGGACATCTATGAATGATTTAGCACCGGGTTCCCCACGAATATGCGGTGTACTCCGGGCAAGAGGCAGCTCCCTTCCAGCTGCACTCCAGATCTCGGGGTGGACGGCTCTCCACACTGGGGCCCCCAGGGAGGGGGCCTGGCTATCTGAGGCCAACTGAGGCTCCTCAGCGCTGCGGTATTACACTTAGGGGGGATTCTGACTTAGAGGCACTTAGTCATAATCCCACAGATGGTAGCTTCGCCCCATTGGCTCCTCAGCCAAGCACATACTCCAAATGCCTGAACCTGTGGTTCCTCTCCGACTGAGCAGGATTACTATGGCAACAACACACCATCAGTAGGGTAAAACTAACCTGTCTCACGACCCAGTTGAGTTATGAGTTGGTGGGTGTCTTTGAAAATAAAAATCCCAGTCTGTCCAACGGTCCAACCTGCCAAGATGATTCTTCAGGACTCTTGCCTGGTGGTCCTTCAACTCTTTGCTTTTAAAAGCCACAGCAGGGATAAAAGACCTTAAAATGCAAGCAGCACACCACAAAATCACACAACAAAATTCTCGGAAAGTGGGGCACACTGAGCAAGTCCAGGGGACACGATCTCAACAGCTGGATAAGTTTGCAGATGCTCCGTGGTAGTCCATCATAACAGTCTACATGCAGCTATGGACTCTCTACTCCCATCTAATCTTTCACTGCTTCTTCCTTGTCCTTGGTCTTTGTTCTTGTACACTCTCCTCTGCCACTTCTCCCACTTCATCATATTCCACAGACACATCATAACAGTTATTGTTCTATATGTTTCAAGTTTAGTTTATTGTCTTAGCCATTGGCCATAACAACACAACATAAATCAAAACACAACAAAATTGTACATCAATAACTTACAGTAAGTCCTAGACCCAGTCTTATGTTTTTTGCCGCCAGTGCAAACGAAGCCATTTTGCTAGTAACATGTGCACACCTGGCGCTCACGCTATTACACCATCGGCCGCCAATGAGGGACATCGAGCATCTTGGAAATTTAATGAACTGTAGAGCACCATTTAGTTTGTATTTATTGATGTTTTAATGTAATTTATATTTTATTCCGGCGTTGCCGCTTGTTCGCCGCCATGGGCCGCTTGGGTAGGGCGGGATATAAATCCCAAGTAAATAAAAAGTAAATAAATAAATCAATATCAGAGAGCAAGAAAACGGTCAAATCCTGCTCTGAAATTCCATTATACAGAGGTACAGTAGGATAAATAAACCTTTGCCTAAGTGATTCATGCCATGAACATCTCAGAATGTAATGCTTGACATCATCCACTTCACCCCTACCACATAGGCATATTCTAGAGGCGGCAGGGGCACCCATAAAGCGGCCAATACAAACCATTGAGGGTATGACATGGAACCTCAGAGCAGTAAAAGCCCTTTGTTCTATATGGTACCGTATTCTGGGATGAAACTTTTTTCTACTATTCCCTCCCTTGGATTTTCAGGCCCCAACACTGTCGAATAACTTAAAATCATCCAGGAGGAGTTGCATCTCGAACTCCCTATAGCATCCTAAGGAACCAGTCTGATTATGCAGGGGCATCATGAAAAAGGCCCTTCTGTACTACCTATTTAAAGGTTCATATAAAAATGAGATTTCTCACTCGTTTTGTATCTGTACAGAACTATGTGTACCATCACTAGGTCCTCTACACATAAGAAAGTTTTCATTAAGAGGCCATCCCCTGAGAACCAGAAACACTTAGAACATCACTCCAGATAAGGCAACAATTTATGCATGTGTATCTAAAATAAATGCATAGGACACACAGTTCGCAAGCAGATATTCAACTAGACCATTGTGTCTGACAGCCATCAGTCAACTCCTGGATGTTAGGGTTCATTCCTAGTTGCGTTGCTGTGCACCATTTTTCTATGGGTCTGTGGGTGGGAGAAATCTGGGATCTGAGAAGCGGCTGCATAAAATCCTAAGGTCCTGAAAATCCTCAGTTTAACACACACACAAATATTGCATGCCTCATGCCACCGGGGGAAAATAATGTTCACTTGCTGAAACTATTAAGACACACAGACATGGACAAAAATCTGTGTCCCCTGTTCTCTTTGGCCATCAAATTGTCCATCATCCCTATGGAGAGGGCCAGTTGTTCATAGAATCACAGAAAAGAAGGAAGGAACTCCAAAATGCTGCTACTTTTAAGAGAACAATCCTAAGAAGGTCTACTGAGAATTCTACATAAGTGTACTCAGTTGGTCTGATTCCCAGGAGACTGTTTTAGGACTGCATTGTAACGCTCTACTGTAATCCTGAACATTTTATTCCAAGAAAATCCCTGATTGATGCTTCTCCGGGAATTTCTCTCCCTTAGTCATGGTCATAGGGTGATAACCATAGTTAAAGAAAAGGTCCAGGAAAAGATGAACATGGTCATCAAGGAGCCAATTCCTAAACCATCATGGCTCACTTACAAACTTCCTCTAGCATGTCTTCTTTCCTTCCAAACTTAGCACCATTCTCCATTTCTTCCTACTGAAAGCAAATATGGAAGGCAGAGCAAACAATGTACTGAATTCCATCTCTACCCAATCCATCTGTTCACCTTGTTCACACACACTCTCTCACTCACTCCACACATATATTCATACATGATATGCCAGTGTGTTGAAGACAATAGAAAATGGGGTGTAAGTATCCACAAGAGGATAAACATCTATATTACACACAATTCCATTTTTCCAGACGATCCCAACTGAAAGTCACAAGTGCCAAAGTGGTATAGTGGTTAGACTATGATCTGAGAGGCCCAGATTCAAATCCCTACTGTGCCACAGAAGCCTGATGGGTGACATTGGGCCATTCCCACAATCCATCATGAGCTCAACTCATGGGTTGCTTACCTGTCAGATACGTGCCAATTCACCGTCACAATACCCAAACAAAAGCTCTGGGAACTGGATCATTCACAGGTTTAGCATTTTGATGCTCTGTGTAACATCTTTCTCCCTGTTCCCTGTAATATATCAAAATTTTCAATAAATCCCCGTAGTATAATTGAAGACTTCTTACCAACAAGCCAAGAAATAATTCATTGCTTGGTCAGAAATAACTGTAAGTCCTTCTTACAGCATTTTTTCCCTCTTCCCTCTTCAAGACAGAGAAATGTCACCATTTGCAGTTGTCCCAAGCAGTGTTCCCTCTAAGCTGAGTTAGTGTGAGCTAGCTCACAGAATTTTAGCCTCCAGTTCACAGATTTTTGTCTTAGCTCAGGGAGGATGACTCCAGAGCAAGCTAATTTATGCAGTAGCCAAATCATTCGCTCACATCTTTAATGCCAGCAGCTCGCAAAGTAGAAATTTTGCTCCCAAGACTCCACAGCTTAGAGGGAACATTGGTCCCAAGGCTTCAAAAATTCACTCCTTCCCCTATTTGCCTTGGTGAATCCCTAATTGTACTCATCACATGGCATCCTCAAGAGTTGGCTGTTACCTGTCCAAAAATAATTCTGTTGCCTATCGAAGTATGCCTTTCCCCTACTTATTCCTTGCTTTGGAAGTTGCTGTGATGCCTTCCGTTGTTTTCTTTGTCAGACTACACTGAGACCTTTGTTTTTCTTTCTGAACTCCTAAAGAAATTGATTTCCATTTATTGTCCAAAGATTACCTTGATGGGATTGTAGCCATCGATGATGATGAAGGACTCCTAAGCATCTCATCCTTCTTTTCCACTTTCATCATCCTCTTCCTCGTGAGTCTTTTCTACAGTGCCACGGTGACCGTCATCAAGGTAAAATGAATGGGATATGAAATAAAGGATTTGAAAGCATGTTACTATATACTACACATTGTGGTCCAATAGCCATTCGTGGTTTGGGTTTTTTTGTAATCTTTATTTTCATTTTCCACACAATACATTATTCCACAATCCATACGTCTTCCTTGCTAATACGGAGCTTCTTAATTAGGATAATGGATAATTGGGCCATTCGTTTTTAAAAGGGAGGGAAACGGAGCCAGAGGAGACCAGAAATGGTCATCATCGGATAGGCCAGACCAACGTTGGGCAATATGTTGAGAAGTTTAACCTTTCTATTAGAAGACACCATGTCGACAAGGGAGATATACATTGCAATGATGCATATCCAGGCCATTAACTGTGAATAATACAGATGGACCTAAATTAGCCCATTCAACATAGAATTTGCCAGCACCGACTACTCCACACCGTAACCTCTCATCTATACATTATGACAGATTCCTCACGCCATTAGAACACATCACAACATTGTGATGGTGAATTGGAGGACAGAGACTTTGCAAAGGAAGTTCTGTAACACTTTTCCTAGAGCAATACTAATTTGTCTCTCTTCCCAATCCTAGGTGAAATAACAATGCCACCAATCTGTGGACAAAGGACTGAAGGAACCAGACTCTATGCTTCCAATTTTGTTCATTGCTATTCTAATGAAGGACTTAACCTCTCCATTCTTTTCTATGAGATGACTGACTGGAAGAATTGCATTAGTCACTTGCTTTATATCAGGGTCTTGAGAATCCATTTGTGCTGAAGCAGATTACAACAAACTGTTTACATTTGATATCCAACCAATTTCTATGGTGCAATTTTGCCTCTGTTTCATTGATGAGTATTTCTTTGTCTTTGTGGTGCTCAGATTTTATTCTAGTTTTTTGTTGTATACCTGATTTAAAACCATAAAGGGGAAATTTCATTTTTTTTTTAAATTCAGGGGAAAATAGACAGGGGATCATTGCACACAGGAATCAGAGGACTGGCATTTCTTACTACGATTAGGTGTACAATATTACATTCTTGATGTAGGATATTATATTCTTAATTAACACATTACTTTCTGTGTGAAGTCTTATTTATTTATGTACAGCATTTATACCCTGCCTTTCTGCCCTGATCCGAAACACTAGTGGAGCTAACAGATTAAGTAATACATAGCAAAGGACAAATCTCAAAAGCCATTAAAACCAAACAATAATACATAATTAAAACAGTTAAAACCTACCTAAAATACATGTGCAGTACAATGAAATACACATGCATATGGCAGGAAAGAGGGAATGTCAGGTGAAACCCAAAAAAAGTCTTAGAAACATAGAAGGGAATTCAAGGGTCACCTAGTCCAATCCCCAGCATAATGGAGGAAATTCACAACCACCTCCACTTTCCCAGTGACCCCAGCCCCTGTGCCCAGAGGAAAGCAAAAAAACCCCCCAAACTTCAGGATCTCTGGTAGGGTTGCCAAGTCTATTTATCTTGGCGGCAGGGGAGCCTCACCGGGCTCCAGGAGCTGTAGGTGGACGTTCGCGTGCTCACAGCCAGCACGTCACCAGAAGTGATGCGCGACGTCGATCACGTTGAGGGCATGGCCCCGATCGTCGTAGGGAAAACCATAGAGTTTTCCCTACGATGATCGGTTGCATCACCTCCGGTGACACAGCCACGCTGTGCTTCGGGGGGTGGTGTTCCCCCCAGGGCCCGATTCCACGGCGGCGGAAATTAGGCCTCCGAAGCGGGGGTTTACCCACCCCCCGCCCCCACTTGGCAGCCCTAATCTCTGGGCCAGTCTCGCCTAAAGGAAAATTCCTTCCCAAAGTGGCAATCATCATTACCCTGGGCATGTAAGAAAGGGCCATGAGAGCCAAGCACTAGCTCTTCTCTTCTCACCCTCCCGCCCTCTCACCATCTGCCTAAATTCACAGAATCTGCACTGCTGTCAAGTACCCATGAAAGAAGTCAACATGAGAGGACAGATGAGCCACCATGGGGAGAGAGTTCCAGAGTTTTGATGCCACATCAAAAGGATCTATAGTTATCATTGTTTGTAGGGGGGAGTTGTATTTATGTGGTGTGAGAGAGAGAGAGAGTGACAGAGAGACTGGCTCTTAGCCACAAAGTATAGATAGGAAGTCTCAGGCTGGGGCAAGTGATGTTCTGTATTCTTGGTGCTTGGGTGGGAGCAACAGTGGGAGGGCTTCTAGTGTCCCGGCCCCACTGGTGGACCTCCGGATGGCACCTGGTATTTTTGGCCACTGTGAGAGTGTTGGACTAGATGGGCCATTGGCCTGATCCAAAATTGGCTTCTCTTATGTTATATGTTCTTATGAATTCATTGATTTATATCTTGGCCATTTAGAATAAATGTCAGATGTTTGAGAGCTGCAAAACATGAACAGATATGACACACACATTATTGTTTTAAAATATGCACATTTGCTTTTTTATTAACATTAAATGAAAATAAAAACAAAAGGGGTAAAAACAGATATTGATAATTGTATTTATTTGTCCAATGATATTTATTTGTTTGTTAATGATATTTATTTGTCTGAGAGAGAGAGAAAAAGAAAGAGGTGGAAAGAAAGAGAGAGAGAAACAAAGAAAGCAAATAGACGGGAGGGAGGGAGAAAAAGTATGCCTCCCCTTCGCTTCCCCAGCTGCCCTGCCGGGAGCCACACAATATGTATGAAAGAGCCACATGTGGCTCCCAAGCCACAGATTGGCCACCCCTGGGATACATATATATCCCATTTTTCCACAGAGATTATTAATATATTCCCAAATAGATCCCAGATTTCTGTAACAGAAAGGCAATAACATGTATGATTTAATTATGAAAAACTTGTTATAATGTTATACATCAGAGGGCTGAATACTTCTGAGGTTGGGAGTTCCATGGAATCGTTTATCTGTAAAAACCAGACACACAATGGCTCAGTGTGGATTATGCCCATCCTATGGGGAACATCACAAGGAAGGGAGGTTCAAACTTTCCCTCAGGCCATTTTCTCCAACTGAAACCATCAGAGAACCTTTATTTGCTCTACTGAGGGAAGCACCCTTGAATTAATACAGGTACCTAAGAACATAAGAGACGCCAATGTTGGATCAGGCCAAAGGCCCATCCAGTTCAACACTGTCACACAGTGGCCAAAAATACCAGATGCCATCAGGAGGTTCACCAGTGG